TTGGATTCTCTGATAGATAAGGCCCAATCGGCCTTTATCCCGGGTAGGAAGATCTCGGATAATATTCTTATGGCTCATGAGCTTGTTTCTGGGTATCAGACTTCGGTAGGTCCTCCTCGATGTGCTTTCAAGATTGATATTAAAAAAGCCTATGATATGGTTGATTGGAGGTTTCTCATTATTATGATGCATGGCTTAGGGTTTCACCCKGTTCTGATTAAGTGGATTAGGGAAATGGTGTCCTCTACTTCCTACTCACTTGCAATTAATGGTGAATCTTATGGATTTTTTCATGGTGGAAGGGGTCTTCGGCAAGGTGATCCGTTATCTCCATATTTATTCACGATTATTATGGAGGGATTTTCTATGCTCCTCAAGACTTGTATCAGGGAGGCTTCTGATTTTGGGTACCATCGCGGTTGTGAGGAGCTGGATATCACTCATCTATGTTTTGCAGATGATTTATTTGTGTTTACTAAAGGTGATGTTCATTCGGTGGAGGTTCTTAAAAATGCTCTCTCTCTCTTTCATCAGCATTCAGGTTTGGAGCCAAGTCTTGAAAAGAGCGAAATTTATTTTGGCAATGTGCCCCATCCTATTAGGGAGGCCATTCTGGTTTGCCTCCCTTTTAAGCTTGGCTCTTTTCCTGTTCGTTATCTGGGAGTGCCACTTTCTCATGCTCGTTTGAAAATTAGTGACTATAGACCTTTGCTTGCTAAGGTTAAAAGTCGTATTTTTAATTGGAAGACTAAGTTTCTCTCGTTCGGTGGACGTAGGCAACTTATTATAGCGGTCTTACAATCGCTTCAATTGCATTGGCTATCTGTTTTCCTTTTTCCGTCGGGTGTAATTCTTGATATTGAATCGATCTTCCGGAAATTTTTATGGGCTCCAAGGGATGATCCACGTGGGAGGTGTAGATTATCGTGGRATGKGGTGTGTCGTCCTCTGGAATCRGGGGGTCTTGGTATTAAACGGTTGGCGACTTGGAACAGGGCTTTACTTGCTAAACATGTTTGGGATATTGTTCGCCATCATAATTCTTTGTGGGTTCGGTGGATTTATAGTCATACTCTTAGAACCAACCACTTCTGGTTGGTTCGGAAAAATTCTAATTGGTCGTGGGTTTTCCGTAAACTATTAGACATAAGGATTCATGTGCGACAGTATTTTGTGTCTCAAATTGGTGATGGTATGGATACTAATGCTTGGGAGTATTCTTGGCTTCCTTGTGGTCCTCTTTCGGCTTTTATGTCTTATCAGTTTATCTATTCTTGTGGGTTTTCTCCTGCTACTACGGTTCGTGAGCTTGTCATGAGATTGAATGGAGTTTGGCCTGATGATTGGTGTGCCAGGTTTGATGTGCTTAATTCTTCTCCTTTACCTTTATTAAATGATTCTCTTTCGGATCATGTTCTTTGGGGGGATGATTTTACTTCTTGTTCAAGATTTGAAGTTCGTAATGCTTGGGCATCATTGGATGGTACTTATCTGGTTGCACCTTGGTATAAATCGGTGTGGTTTTCTGGTCATATTCCTAAACATGCTTTTTGTTTATGGCTTGCATGCCAGCGACGTCTTCTTACTCAAGACCGTTTACTTTGGAAGGATGAACCTCCTGACCTAGAGTGTTCGCTTTGCAGTCAGAGTGTGGATAGCCATGCACATTTATTTTTCCAGTGTACTTTTACTCGTGA